TGGAGGGGATGATGGAGCACCAAGTAGTGGAAAGTATGCCCTCAACCACAATTGAGCGAGCCAAAGAGGCCTACTGCCAGTGGAAGATGCACCAGTTCTCAACTGAAATTAGAGGGAAGCCATGCCTCTATAAAAGGCAGCTAAGAACAACGAGCAAAGATTCAAGGATCTACCACGTGCCAACTCATTCGCTATGGGTAAATAACTCATTGAAGGTTTCATGCTAGGCATACAAAGGACATATTTACAAAGCCAAACCTGAAGAAAGGCTACATGCTCAATGTGAAAAGGCTCAGAGCTAGAGGCAGTATAAAGGCTTTGCATGCCTGAATAAGACTCAGTAAGTTTATTATCAAACTTTGGGGCAGTACTAGTGACCAAAATGTCGGAATAAATGGTATCGCTTAAGGGCGGAAGGTTTACAAGGGCTCCAACATCCCTCAGAGTGTAGACATTGGGCCAATGGGAAAACCGAAAGTATTGTATGCTGAAGACCAAAAACTTAATGCAGTCGAAAAAATCACTGGGTCATAGATTGGGGGATGTAGTGCAATTTCTAGCAAGTCTGAAATTCCAGCACGATCAAAAATCGCTTTGGTGGGGCCATGTTTTACTAAACGTGTATGCTAAAAATGAAAAACAGAATCAGACTTAGGCCAAGTACGAATACCTCGTTCTCGGATTGGCTTTAAAGTAAACGGATTCAAGAAAGGAGGATCTTGAGTACAAGGAAATAATTGACCTATTGTCGCTTTTCCGATAGATTCAATATCTTTAAACGATGGGCCCAGGTAGAATTCATTGAGGTATGTGTTAGTTAATGAGAGAAAATTCGAGTTTATATATGGCCGACAAGGAGGGTTTGGAAATCTTTGAAACTAAGATTGTTATCAGAAGAGGTTTGTGGAGTCGCCATTTGCAATAAAATATAGTCTTGGTGAAGATTCTTGAGAGACTTATTAAAGAAGCAAAACGATGAACAATAACTTTTATAGAACGCACGATGTGAAGACGTGAAGGTAATGGTGAGATGAAGTGGCGTGTCTTTGGGGTTTATAGGGGTTTGTAACGTTGCACATTTTCAGATTATAAAAGGGTTACAATCAAACGGAAAAAATGATTGAAATTCTTAGGAATTTCAAATATTGCCGAAAAATACAAAGAAATAAGATGACAAAGATTAATAATTGGTATTAATTGTTGACATACAAAAAGTGTAGCCTAAACTAATTTATGAAACCCAGTTAGGAAGTCTAGAATGAAGGCTCAAATAGGACCATTAATGAATGCAGTGGAAGCCCACAAACATCATCTTCCAAGCTTGCAAGACACCCAAGATCTGAGCAAGTAGAGTGCCTTAAAATCGCCCAGAGCAAATGAGCATATTCTAGCCCAAACCTTTGAATCGCCCAGGATCTTAGTAAATATGAGGCATTATGGTTATCCAGAGTAGTGGTTATTGAAGAGGTTATTGAGTAACCTTATCATACCCCATGATCCAAGAATTAAAGTTGTGGATGTTGAACGACAAGAGTAATTGCAACAATTATAGATGGCAGTTTCATGAAGAAAGTGGGTAGTTATAGAGCAATCAAGCAGTTTTCAAGCGGTTTGTCATGAAGGAATTATCAAAGAAGCATAAAAAGGAAGAGAAGGCATAGAGAAAAGGACCCCGAATCAAATACTCTAGACGGAGAATATGCAATTTCAATTTCTTATTTTAATTTTAAACACTTCTTTTAGT